GCCCCTCCCCGGATTTGACCCCCCAGCCTGGAATTTGGACACCCCCCTCCCCGGAAATCTGGCCCCACCCCCTAGGGTTTAGCCCCTCCCCTTGTATCAGGCCCCGCCCCACAATTTATCCCCACCCCTTTGCTGTAGCCCCACCCAATGTCTGGCCCTGCCCATTGTCATTTAGCCCCGCCCCCGCGTTTAGCCCCACCCTCTTAGCTGTAGCACCGCCCCTCGATAAGCCTCGCCCCTACCCTCCCGGAAGTGCTGTAGCCCCACCTCCTGTACTGAGACCCCACCCCTTGGTTTAGCCCCGCCCTGGTTTAGCCCCACCCCTTTCTTCCCCTCCCGGAAGCACCGTGGCCCCGCCCCTCGGTTAAGCTCCGCCCCCTCACCGTGCCGGAAGCGCTGCCCGTCGAAGGGCTGCAGCAGCGCCCCCTGCTGGATGGGCCCGGCGGTCACGTGGGGCCCGCGCACGGTCCCGCCGCCGCCGCCAGGGGGCGCCCCGGGGCGCGCGCGCAGGAAGAGCCCGCGGGGGGCGCTGCTGAGCAGGAAGCCCCGGCCCAGCCCCGCCCCTTCCGGCAGCACCACGCGCGGCAGCACCCCCGGCGGCGTCGGCGCCCCCTGGCGGCCCGGAGGACTCAGCAGGTACTCGCCGGGCGGCAGCGCCACCTGGTGGAGCGCGGCGGTGCCGCGGCGCAGGTGCAGCAGCAGTGCGAAGTCACCTGAGGGGGGCGCCAAGGAGCATGGGGGCGTGGCCGGGGAAGGAGGCGGGGCTTTGGGGTGGACAAAGGTGGGCGGGGCCGGGGTGGAGTCAGATTGGGACGTGGCCAATGATCAGGGGGTAGAGGCAGAGCAGGGTGGAGTCACAGTGGGTGTGGACAAAGCGGGTGGGGCTTGGGGCAGGGCTAGGGAAGAACTGGGGGTGTGGCCAAGGGGGTGGGGCCAGTCGGGCTGCCGCGTGGCCAGGGATGGGCGTGGCCATGGATGAATGAAGAGAGGGGTGGAGCCAAAGCCAGCAGGGTCATAGGAGGAGGCAGGGCCATGGCTGGAGGCGGGGCCTGTGTGGGACTGGGGGTGTGGCTGTAGCAGGGTGACATTTTGGGAGGGTGGAGCCAAAATCAAGTGGGGTCACAGAGGAGGTGAGTTAGAGTTGGGTGCATGTTCAGAATTCGGGGCGTGGTCAGGGTGGAGTCAGATTTGCGTTGGGATGGAGCCAGCAAAGGGGGTGGGGCTACCACTGGGGGGTGGGGCCAGCCAGCACTTTTTTTGCCTGTCTGGTGATTGGCTGTGGGGAGGCTCCTCCCCTGGGGGCGGGGCTTACCCTGTGCTGGGGGGAGGGGCTCCAGGCTCTCCACCAGGATCCGCAGGGGCGGCATCTCCAGGAGCGGGGCCTGGGCTGGGGGGCGGGGTCAGACAGAGGCCACGCCCCAGAGTCACTCCCATCCCCCCCCCCCCCACTTTCCCATCCCCACCCCCTCACCGGGCTCTCCATGGTCCTGGGTCCCCCCCTGGGGGTCGGGGGGCGGGGTCTGGCTTTGGGGGCGGGGTTCTTCAGGGCTCAGCTCCGACTCCTTCTGGCTCCGCCGGGCCTTGGGGGCCTTCGACTCTGGAGGGGAGTAGAAGGCACCGTTTGGACCCTCCCCCCTCCCTGGACCCTTTGGGACCCTCCCGTCCTTTCAGGCCCCCCTATTTGGCCCCCCCTCCCCCCAGGTTTCCCCTGAGGGCCCCTCAAAACCCCCCTGACCCTCCCCAGCTGTCCCCCAATTAACCCCAGCGTCCCCCAAGGCCTCCATAACCACTCTTGGCCCCCCGAACTCCCCCCCGGGGTCCCCCCAACCCCCTCCTGACGCACGTAACTCCCTCCCAGCTCCCCTCTCCCGGACGCCCCCACCCCAGTTCCCCCAGGCCTCCACCCAAGACCCCTCAAACCCCTCGTGGCCCCCTCAGCCCCCCCCGAGCCGCGCTCACCCCTGGGGGGCAGCAGTCGGTACACGCGGTAGGGGCAGGGCCCGTCGGGGCGGCCCCGCCGGGGCAGCTCCTTGAACTCGGGGCTGCGGGCGAGGGCACAGCGCAGCCGCGTCTTCCACCCCGCCGGGTCCGGGGGGTCCCCGGGCCGCACCCGCCCCTTGTACTCCGCCCACGCCTGGAATGGGCCGAGCGGCGTCAGGGCGTGGCCGGGGACACGCCCACCCATCGCATTGCACAGCGCGGCCCTGCTCCCACATGGCCCCGCCCCCTCACCTGCTGGGGCGCGGCTCCAGCCCCGCCCCCTCCCGTGGCCACACCCACCACTCACATCTTAGGCCCAGCCCCGCCCTTCATGAGACCCACCCTGCCCCTGGCCCCTCCCACATGTGCTGGCTCCGCCCATCACCATGCAGAGTTTGGCCCAAGCCCCGCCCCGTTAGCCCCTCCCACCATACTGCAGAGGCCCACCCCTTTCCACTTAGCCCCGCCCTGATTTTGCTTAGCCCTGCCCACCCTTGCCACACCCCCACGTTGCGGAGCCTTTTCCTTCCACCGTTAGCCCCGCCTCTTTCCCTGACCCCGCCCATTCTCTCGGCCCCGCCCCATCCCTTTAGCCCCGCCCCACCC